TTTCATCAGGGCCTATTAAAAACTTAAATAATTAAATGACACTTTGTATGGTTCACTCCCAGAGCTTTTTACATGATTCAGAAGGATTTTAAACTAATGCTAATGCTTATATCACGTTCATGAAGCTACTATAGAATACATACAGGAGACTCCTGTTGTCTCTTATTTCTGACGAGTTATGGTAACTACCTGAAGCCACATTTACCTTCCTTCTTAATCTGGAGCCTCACTCTATTTAGCAATGCTTGGATTAGCAACAAAAGGCCCTACAAGCCCAGATACAGGGCCAGGGCTGCCACCTCTTTGCTGTTTTTTAGTTTGTTTGATGGTAGTGTTTTATTTTCTGTTCATTTTCTCAGTTTCTACAATGCATGATGGATCACAAAGTTGTTGTGAGGGAAATCAATGTTCAAGTTCATGCTCATGTTAATACTGCTGAGACAGACTGGAACAGCTGTAGCAAGCAAAATAAACTACTGCTGTGCTCAATATTAAAAAAAAAAGGTAAGAAAAGTAGATTGCTCTGAAAGAACAAAAGTTTGGTGATATTTGCAAACGTGTGGAATGTCTTACTTGCCATATAGTTTTAACAGTACTGGCTATGAACAAGCTTACAATGTATTTAGTTTCTGTGCGTCTTGTGCGAGAGCCTTATCCAGCTCTGGGTTCTTTCCCTTACACAATGGAAAAGGCAAAAAGCAAGCTGGTTTCCTTTGCTGGCCTTTGCAGAAAAACCAGTGAAATGAACCGTAACTCTTTTATGAACAGGATCCCTTAATAACTACATCTGTGAGCATAACTACATTAGAACTCATTGCGGTATCTCAGCGCATTCTTGGACAACTTCCTAACTCTTGCTGCATTTGAAAGAAGTTGCTGAGTGTCCCATAATTCAGGTATTGACACTGCGTGCCTGGAAAGGGGAAGGTCAGAAAATGTAGTGAGTTGAGGAATTGTACTCTTTGGACTGAAGTCACTGTTAAGGCAGGCTCTTACTTTAGATTCTGAGCACAAGAACTTTAAAAAAAAATTACCACATTTAATTATTCTTGTTAATGTCCATTAACTAATGACTTTCAGCTGCTTCTCTCCTACTGCAAAAGCAGAAATGGGGTCATTCTTTTTCCTAGGTTTGTAAATTAGCATTGAACCACTGTGCAATGGAAAGACTACACATACTCAAAAAAAGGATTTATTTTCACAAGAGTATTTGATGTAAAACAATAGCATACAAAGTAAATATGTTCATAAATTTCTGTGTTTAATTAAGATGTCTTCTGATCAGTGGAGCAGTACGTTCCTAGGAAAAACAAGCTACACTTGATACATCACTGTGCAAAAGGAGCAGCACAGGGGTATGGAAGACATATTCAGAAAATGGAAGGTCTGACATTTCTGGTAAAAGTTAACCTAAACAAGACAGAGAGAGAATGCTGCTCTTTCTTTGTTTTTCCTTCAGCCCCATCCCATCACCAGGATGATGGCTGGTCACTTTTCACAGATGAGTTCTGCTTCCAATTAATTTCCCCAGCCCCACCCCAGCTCCCGCTAATTTTATATTGGCTTTTTAATTTGGCATAGAAATTACAAACAAAATTTTAAGTACTGAATACAGTTTCATCGAATTTCAGAGATTACTAATGTTGGCCAGATTACCGGAGTGCATACAATCATTCAAATCAAGAGTCCTTAGCATCTGCAAACTGGAACAGTTGTGTCACCAAAGAGCAAGGATAAACCCCAGATTTCTTGTATTAAAGAACTACCTAAAGCCACAGTAACATGTGTGTGTGTGTATGTGTTTGGTTTGTTTTGTACACGTGCATTCTTAGTTACAGTGAGCCTCTGGAAGACATAAATACTGAGAGGTAAATGTTTCTGTCAGCTGATTGTTTTAGCAGTCACATAATCCTTCCTTTGATGTCTTGGGTCAATGAAATCCTAGTACCATCGTGGTTTAGTAGAAGATATATTAAAAGAGTTTCTCTGTGATCTTTCCTGCAACAGAAACAGCAGTAAAAGTTATTACTCTGTCACGATAAAGGAGTATCTGTGCATTCTGGACTGCCCCAGCTTTCCAAATGGAGTTATTTTTCAGGTTACCGGTTGAGCATAACCGTGGTTACAGAGTTAACAATGATCTCTTTAGATTTCTAGGGCTACCACAACAAGGTCTGAAGAAAAGAGGGAAGATCCACAGAACAAGCACATTCTCTTGGTTATTAGCAGGTTACTCTGAAAATAATGCTAGAGGTCAGTTACCAGAGCAATACTGTGTGATGTGCTACATATCCACATACCTTCTTGTCTTAAGCCAACAGTTCTCTAAACAGTACTGGGGTAGCTTTTCCACCTTAGGCCGTTTAGTGTTTAACATCAGGACATCGTAATGTATACTAATTCGTTTTTTGAGAGAGAACAGTAACAACATTTCTCAAAGGCTCTTAGAAAAGGTACATCTTTTTTTGCTCTAGGGCT